ATCGAGTGGGCGACCGCGGGGGGCGGCGATGGACGCGACAGAAGTCTGACGCAGGCTGAACGCGCCATCACATGATCTCGCACGTGTGCTTATCGATGGCGCACGCATCCCGCGGGGGCGGGGCCGCTGGTTGACGTCTCCCGTCCGGATAGAAGCAAGGGACCAACCGAACTCTGATTCTTCGAAAGATCCAGTAGCGTCGACACCAGAATCCATTGTCTACTAAAATCTGTATCCATTCGAAGCGCGTTCTTTCCGACGGGGAAACCTTCGCCGAATCTCTGATCGAGAATCAAGCGTCACACCCACGAAAGCCACCGCATTTTCAGTCTCGCTCCGCAACATACTGATTGATACCCCCTGACATGTCGAGCTTATCGCAAGAGTGCCTATGAACCGCTGTTGATCATGAATTCTTCGGTTTGCTCAATGGCACCGATGGTATCCAGTTCTGATTACACGAACAAAGGGGTGAGGGAATGAGTGACTCGAACATGAGCTTCCTGCAGAAGATCTTCGTGAACCTTGACGGAGAGTGTCATTGAACAAGGCTTGGCAGAACAAGTTACTGATAAAAAAAGCAACCATTGCATATCGTGAGAAGATAACCAATTCACCGTCTAGGGGGCCGCAGGGCCCGAATTCCGACAACTTTATGTAGACCACACACACGAGTCGTCCACGGGGCAAAACTCCGCCAGCAGAACAGGTCACTGCGCCTGAAGTCCGCAGCATGAAAGTCTGCCCCAATGACGCAGCCGCGATATTGAAGACGGCACTCTCTACACTACTTAACGGCTTCTTCCGAGTTTCACTTCCTCAATAGAGAGCAAACATCTTCAACTCGCCGAATACTTGCCACATGTGTCTTGATATGAGGTCCGCTGCCCCTCATCCTGAAGTTAATGCAATCAATAAAATCCGCAAGATGCGGATTTCTGAGAAGGCCTCCAAGACTCCTAGATTGAATATCTGCTTTGTGTTTTGAGACGATGAGCCACTTCATCATTTACTATAATTACAAACTTGTCGGATCTGGTTTCGAGCTTGAAGATTCAATCATTATCTACCATTCAAATAGCAATAACACACGATTCAATCCCTACAACCCTTAAATCACCGTCACATCCACCCTCACGTTCATCATGGTTGTAGTCGCAGTCGCCGGGGGCACGGGCGGTGTCGGTAAGACCATCGTCGAGCAGTTGCAGCTCAGCAAGAAGCACGAGGTGATCTTGCTCAGTCGCAAGGTGTGTCATTCAACAGCCACATGCACACACACTTGAGCCATTCTGACCGATTCGTCTAGGCCCCTGCCACACCCGCCTCAGGTGGCGCACAAATTGTGCTTGCTGACTACGGCAACATCGAGGCGCTTTCTCTGCTGCTCCAGGAACACAAAGTCGACACGGTCATTTCCACGATTGGCCTCATGGGCGCAGAGGCCATCCGGTCACAGCTCAACCTCATCGCTGCAGCCGACAAGGCCAAGTCAACTCATCGATTCGTACCCAGCGAGTTCACAGTCTACGTTTCTCCAGAGTAAGTAGACAGATTCCTCTCTCTCCCGACACGCCTCCTCTTCTAGTTGATGTGATATACTAATCCCTGACCAGCGATTCTAACGCGGCGGCATTCGGTGCCTGGCTGGACGCAGCCGCCGCTCTGAAGAAGACTGGTCTGACATACACTCGTGTCATCAACGGGTGGTTCATGGACTACTTTGGCATGCCGCACACCCCAAGCAACCTCACCCCGCACGCCTGGGCCGTCGACATCGCCAACCGCCGCGCCGCCATCCCCGGAACCGGCAACGAGCCCATGACCATGACCTACTCAGTAGACGTAGCTCGCTTCGTCGTCCGTATGCTCGACGACACCGACTGGCCCGAAGTCAGCATCATCAGCGGCTCAGATACTACATTCAACAAGATCTCGGAAATCGCGGAGAAAGTCACTGGTACGTTTGGAGCTTCGACGGCTAAACAAGTGAACAGGTTCATGTAGAGCTAACGTGTCTATCCTTGCAGGAGCCAAGTTTGACGTCGTCTATGACGGAGAAGAGAAATTAAGAAACGGCCAGGCAACCGTATGGCCGACAGATTACGGCGCAGGACCAGCGTCAGCGGAGGAGACGCAGGCGATGATGGCTCTTTTCGGATTGATGAGCGTCGAGGGTCGGATCCTTGTGCCCGAGGGTAACCGCCTGAATGACAAGTACCCAGAGATCCACCCCGTCGGCATCGAGGAGCTTCTCACCGCGGCCTGGACTGGGAAGTAGGATCCTTTGCGTCTCAGGACTAGGTACTTGAGTTAAAGTCCTTTTGCTCTCATTGATGCTGGCTTTTCACCTCTGCTGTTAAATCCCCTCAACGCAGTGTTACCTTCTTGTTTGGCACAGCCTGTCTTTGAGGAAGACGCATCTCTTTGATCCTGGTTCTCGTGGCTCTCTCGACATCTTCTGCCGCTCCTATGATGATGTACTCTTGCGCCGAATCATGTTCCAATTAGTGCTAGCTGGGTTCATGATAGTAGAGACCCTGCTCTGAGGTTCTCATCCAGCAGTCTAGCTAAGTTGCTCACTCGGAACCCTACAAGCTGCCCTAACCAGCTGCCTAAGCCGGTGGGCCAGAAGCTTAGCCCGCCAATCCCTAATAAACTGGACCTCGTAGCTCGACATAGCAGTCACTAAGAGACAAGTACTTTAACCCGACTAGTCTAGGCTGGCATGGGGCCCGGCCGGCTCGGCTGCGAGTTGAAGTAGAGTTAATTGTCGATCCGATCCCAAAGTCCCAAAACACCAAAGAGAGGAGTCCGACTTGTGCCCCGCAAAATGCGGCTTTGTGGACCTCGCAGGGAGCGGCCGCCACACCCGCCGGGCCATGCCGTTTAAATATCCCTAGCTTCCCAAAGTCCCAGAAACTCTCCGCGCATAGTTAGACAGCAGAGGATTCGAGCTGAGCTTAATTTTAAAGAAGTACGGATAAAGAGAAAAGAACTTGTGAAGAGCCGCAGTGGGAATTTGGGAGCTAGCGGAGAGAGATCTCACACCGCCCCATAGAAGAGCTGCCGAGTTCCGTATTCCGAACTTCCTAACGTGTCGAATCGAGCATAGTTGGTAGAGTTCTTGTCCAAAAAGGGTATTGATCTCATCGATGCCGATGATTTCAGCACGATGAAGTCAGTGGGTCAATGGATCCTTCTACCAAAGTCCCGTACATCTCACGATAGTATCTCGTGTCTCAACAGTGTCAATTTGGCCCTCGAATGCGGCCGACTGACCCACGCTGACTTCTGGCTCGGGACTGGAGACCGGTCTGACGATAGTCTCTCCCAACTTGGCAAGAGAATCGTCTAGGAGGCGAGACTTCAGATCTTCGGGCTTCATCATTGGTGGTATAGGAGTGTCTCCGCCAAGGCTTCCCTAAGTCCCTTTCGATGTTGCAATAGGATCTTGTCAATATTCAGGGCTCTATAGAGGTATCGGTATAGGATCGCCCCGGCCGCGGCTCCCTTGAGTCCTTTCCGATGTTGCAATAGGATCACCCGGAAGGCAACATCCAGAGCACCCGACATGATCATTGGCTATATAGGAGTTTACTGGTCAAGGTTCCCTCGAGTACCTTCCGATTATCCCGATGTTGCAATAGGATCATCTAGGAGGCGAGCTTCAGGGCTATCGGAACTACCATTAGTTGTATAGGAATGCCCTGGTCAAGGCTTCCTTCCGAGGAGCCTGGAGCGGCCGCCAAGAGGGCATCGAAAAGGGCCTTTGGTATTTAGGTTTACGAGGAGATGGGATATTAGGCCTAGGAGCAACCAAGGTGGCGAAGCGAAATGGAAATTGTTGATGATCAGAGACATGAAGTTGGGAACTTTGGTCGAGATCCAATTTCTCGATGTGATCACGTCCTGTAGTCAAGAAGAGAACAACGACACCAACTAACCTATAAAACCCTCCCATCTCTCCCACCTCCTCCTCAACTTCCCTTCCATCAGCATCAGCTTCTCAACACTCATCACAACCTTCTTCACCACCAAAAAAATTTCCCCAATCTTTTCCCGACTCACCAGTCCCCCAATCACCCCCAACCTCAAAATGAAGTCCTTCACCGTCATCGCCATCGCCCTCCTCGGCCTCACCAACGCCGCCACCATCCGCATCTGCAAGGACCAGACCCTCGGCAGCTGCGTCACCATGGACGTCACCACTTGCAGTACGTCCTCCCACACTTGAATCCTCAACCCAACTCTCTGCCACCTTGGAAGCTGACACATCATCTTAGCCAACTTCCCCGGAAGCATGAACGACGTCGTCAGCTCCGTTGACACCGGCAGCGCCACCTGCACCTTCTACACGTGAGTCTCTACAATCTATCTCATTCCTTCACCCCCTCCTCTTCAAAGAACGGAGGACAACAATGCCTTCCGTCTCCATAACAAGCAGTCCCATCAAGAACATCTCTAACATATCCTTCTTCAAACCCACTAGTGACGGCAGCTGCGGCGGTGCCTCCTGGACCACCAGAGGCCTCCAGAACACCGTCCCTTCCAACTTCAACGACAACCTCAGCTCCGTCAAGTGCTAGAGAAATCGCTTGGAAAGTTCGGGAACGTCATAACAGAGCACCTCATGAAAACAACGAATGCTGCTTTCTTCGGGAGTCTCTGTGACGTCGTCCAGCAACGCGAGGAATTAGGGGCTACCATGTGATTCCGGCTTAGGGGGTTTGATGCCTGCTTGGTTTCCCGGATAGAAGCAGGCGGAATCTTGTCAACGGTCGGATCAGCTTTTAGTTTTTTTTACCTTCTTTAGTACCTATTCCCTCTCTTATATTGAAAATAGACTCTTTGAGTCCCCACTGTCGCTCGCTTCGTTTGATAGTCAACATGGTCTCTCGTTATCCAGAGTACCGCCCTCGAGGAATTCCTAACAAACTTGGGACAACAGATCAAGCTCGTTGCAAAGCTTACTACATTGATCTTGCGGCTCATTCGACTTATTCATTGAGAAAGACATCCACAGAGTTCATCAAGCACACGAATGGTCCCCCCAGGAAAGTATAAGACACACTGTTGCAATATCGACGGCAGAAAAGGGGATTTGGAAGGTGATCTGGGGGCTCGTTGCAAACGGGCCTTCCACCTACTTACACCCAACGGAGGAATCCTGGGCTACGCCCACTCACTTCCTCCTTACATATCCATACACAGTTCAATACCAAGATTATTGAGCTTCGTAAGTGGCCCTCAGGCTGCCCTGCTGACGTGTATACCATCACACACAGCCCGTGGTCGATATCTGACATTCTACTCTAATCAAAATAAGAGTCGACAACTCTAATCCAACTGTCATCTCATAGCATTCAGGTGTCCGTTCGTTCTTGGCGTCTTTGAACAACACTACTCGCGTTTCCGTGGGAAAGCAATTTACGGATCACGGGGCTGTTCACGCTTGGATAAGAATAATCTTTACTACCGCGTAGTCTCGCGAGAAGGTGGCCAGAGAGGGCTCCGTTCAGCTTGCCAACGGTGTGGTGACGTGTAGCACGTATGGGCCGCCGCATCCAAAACGTTAGATGGAAGCCACGCGAGTTTGCTTGTTGTAAAATAATTTTATATATCATCCAACATGGGTCCTGTTCTCTTCCTCATTTCAGATTCGCCTAGAGAGGTAGTCCTCAAAGATCCGTAACAACGAATGCTCACGTATCTATAAGACACAAGGGAAAAGGCAGAAGTCAACATCGCGTGTATTGAATTAAACAGGGTGACAGCTTGGTTCCAAGCCCTGGATTTCTCTTAGATGCTTGGTGGATGCATATTATAAGACATCATCAATACAAGGTTGGATTGCGCACCAAGCACAAGGTCAGTTACAAACATTTCATTATTCATCCACAGCCTATCAACGCCTCACAACCCCGATTAACACATTTCTCTCGCCCGTATTTCATAACCCTCAAGATCAAACCAGATTTAAAAAAAGACAAGCAACGTGGAAATAGCTAAGTCAAACCAGCCGAGCCGCGCCACCCATCCGACGAGCCGGACTAGCCCAGCAACCATGTACACGCAAGAGAAGAAAAAAGCAAAGTGAACAGAAATGCAGTCGAACTATTTCTCCGCCACCTTCCTGACTTGCATCAAGGCACGTAACATTAGAACGCCAAGCCAATTTTTTCCCCCATTACCCCTCTCTCACTCTCCTGTGTCGTCTGGCCGGTCCCTATCTGTCGGTACTCCGCCGCCGGTTCAACGCCCCGAAATCCCGACCAGGGGTCGCGCACGCTCTCCCCTCTCCAACATGTGAAGGCAGACTGACGACACGCTGCTACTGCTCAATTCGTCCACCTCTGCAGTTCATTTCAACGCATTTGGCCGTTGGGAGCTTCTCTTCGTCCCGCAAAACCTCGATTAGCGGCTACGCCGTCTTGTTACGGCCGTCGAACACGAAGAAGCACGCGCGCAAAAAGGTACTCAGTGCCCTGCAGACAACTGCATCGGGACAAGTCATGTCTTGGCGTTAGACGGCCGACCGACATCAAGTCTCAATGATGCTGCTAGTCCATCAAAAACCGTACAAGTCATGCAATCCAATGACCTTAACCTAGCATTCCGCTGTCTGGGCTCTGCGCACTTCATCCGAGATTTGGGTCATGAGCAATGCGTCCCAGGGGTGTTCTGTCGCGGGGCTTCTCGACCAAATCAGCATACCCATCCAGGCTCGATCCCATCACCCTGACCATGTCGAAAATGTGCGAGCCCTTGAACGTCTCCGCCCAGAGCCTGATGACGGCTGCAGCTAGCTGCCTCAACCTTGTGCTGTCGTTCGCAGATACCTCGCTGTTGGCAGGTTGACCGGCGGTAGGCCCGCCGAGGGATGGGTCTATGGGCACAGCGAATTCTGTCTCGTCAAGCATTCTCCTCACCGATTGTAGGAGGTTCTTTTCCTCGGGGGTCGCAGGGGGGTCATTCGGTCCGATCGATGCGAGGGTAAGGAGCCATTTGGATAAGAGGATGGCACATTCGAAGTTGCATACTGCAAAGAGAGGGGGTTAGCTAGCACAAGAGGTGTTGGAAAATAGATACTTACAGGAATGCTGAATGCTCCATTCCAGGCTCTTAGTCCTGGCAACGTAGTTCACGCCGGCCTTGACCAACATTGACAAAGCATGAATGGCTTGGAACACGGCTCGATGCAATCTCAACGTACGGACGAGGAGGGGCATATTGCTCAACGAGGAAGCAACCAGCATGTGATCCCTGGTCTCGAGGGATCGGTTGGGCGGGATCTCGGTGTATAGACGGATGTATGCCAGGCGCAGGAGGGCAGTAGAGTTGAACGCTACCGGGCCACCCGGGAACGAGTCGCTATTGCCCACATGCCCCGCGTCGGCTGCTCGCAATTGGTGCCGGTGTTCGAAGCTAACTTGCCATATCCGTAGTGCCGCAGTGACTTCTTCCACATCCTCCGGCTTTAATCCCCTCTGCGGCCCAAACGGTGAACTGAGTGCAAATGAAGTTTGCTTGAGCAGGTAAATATGCTGCAGCAATGCGTGGATGAGGACGTAGTTTCCGAGGGACGACATGTGTGGAGGCAATCCTTGCGGCGAAGTCGTCAGAACTCTGGAGAAGGCGTCGTGAACGGTGATTTCGACAGAAGGGTAGTTTTGTCTGTCTTCCTGCCACTGCCACGCCGACTCTGCTCTCCACAGTCTGGAGGGGTAGGGCAAGAATAGGCCAAGCTCCGAAGTGAGAATCAGAGGTGGCATGTTGTACGCGATACTGCACAGGTTGAAGAAGCAATAAGCTATCAACTTTGTGCGCGTGGCTCCCTCGAGCCGAATCCAGGTCTCCCAGTCGGGTGCAACAGCCGGGCTGGACTCGGCTATCAACCCCTCTTCGCGGACGAGCATAGCAAGGTGGCTCTGAAGAGAAAGAGCCTCATGCAAGATTGCTTTTGCTCCCCAAAGCCCGACTGCGAAGAGCAGTAGGACAGCCTGTGTGGTCTCTAGCCGAGCTTGCGGTGTGTTTGGCGAGCTGTGGAAGGCCGTTAGGGCAGGGAAGCAGATCAAGATGGGAGATACACTTACAAAGGCTCGCGATGAGTGTCTTGTGTCATTGGGCGATCCTGCTGTGCCGAGGCAAAGGTATGCCTGAAGCCAGAGCTAGGGGATGGCCGTGTCGAGTGCGGGCTGTAAGCAGCGGGAGTCGGGAGAAGAGCATGAACTTCGTGGCTATGCCGTCTTCTAATCTGCTCGAGTGCAACGGCCTTTGCAGCATACCACAGAGCGTGACCCCGGTGGCTCTCGAATCGGTACTGTGCACCCACAGCCAAGATAGCCAGGAGAAGCTCGGGTGCCATCTCAGCGGGCGTCAATGTGGGAATATGCAGGAACGGGAGATACTCGTGGAAACCGCTAATGTACCCCTCAAGGAAGCGAGTGAGCGTATGCCGAGAGGGAAAAACAAAGTCGTTTGGAATGACAGAAGAGAATTCCTCCAGTCGATTCTTAATGACCGTGTGGTCGACGGCAGAGATACGGAGGGGTGCTCTCATTGACTCTTCGTGGCTCCTTGGACCACCTTCCATACCCTCCCGACCATCCGGCTGGACCGAAGGGAACCGCGACGGGAACTGCGATGATGGCTTGGACGGGCCACGGTGATGCATGTCGCCACGGGGCCAAAGTCCCCCCATCTGCTGGTCAGACTCGAACGGAGGCGGCAGGTAGTGCGAAGAAGGCGCAAAGTCGTCGAGAAAGATGTGATAGTCATCGTAAGGTGCTGCTTGGGGCTGTGGAACGTATCCCGGCGCCAGCATATTCTGGTCCTCCCGTGGCCGTTCTGGATAGCCCATCGACTCATCATAGGACTTGATCCTTGTATGATCGGAAGGCGGACGGCCCATCTCAGCCATCATAGGTTGCTGCATGGGGTTCACTTCGCTGGCCAGGGCCGCATCAGAAAGTAGATCGAGGTTGCAAGCAGCGGCACGGGCCGGGCCCGGCATGCGAGGATCTGGGGCCATGGTGGATGCCACGGCCGTTATTGACTCCTGGTGATACTGCGGCTGAGGTGGGCGCTGGACGCCCAACATTTCGTGCTCGACATGGCTGTCGGAGGAAGATGGTGGATTATGTGTGCTGGATGAAGTCTTTCTTGGGCGATTATTCTCCTTGCTGCCCTCGTTGAGGTGGACGAGCTTCTCATGACGGACAAGGAGATCACTGATGTCCATATAAGCATATTCCTTCGTCAGAGTTGGGAAGGGGAATCGGCCGTGTTGTAGTTGAGCATCAAGAACAGGGAAGAGGTGGAGTCGAAAGTCGGGGCTTTTGGACGGGGGAAGGTCTTGGGGATAAAGCAAAGTAAAGCTGGGTGGTGTGGTGTGTGTGGAAGGTGACAGCATATGGTGTCGATGTGGTGAGGTAAGTGTACTCAGGCAGGTCGCAGGATGGTAAAATGACGAATGGCCAGGGGGCAAGGTTGATAGAACTCACCGTCGTCCGAACGTTTTCCCACAGCGAGCCCAGCCGCAGGCAAAGGGCTTCTCTTTGGTGTGCGTCCTTTCGTGTCTTTGGACATGCTCCACACGCCTAGAATGCAAAAGCAATGTAAGCTAAGGTAGCGGAAGGTACAGCGAGAAAGCCAAGGTAAGGAAGGTAGGGCAATCATCGAGAGGAGAGTTGGGGGCCTTGCACCAAGGAGGAGGGGGAGCCGACTTACCTGAAGCGCTTGCTGCAATACTTGCACGGCAAC